GCCTGCCCCGTGTGCCTGTGGCGGCGGCAGAGCAAAGAGCTGCGGCTGGAGAGCATCAAATCGCAGATCCTCAGCAAGCTGCGGCTGAAGGAAGCGCCCAACATCACCCGCGAGGTGGTGAAGCAGCTTCTCCCCAAAGCCCCCCCGCTCCAGCAGCTCCTGGACCTCCACGACTTCCAGGGGGACTCGCTGCAGCACGAGGAGTACCTGGAGGAGGACGAGTACCACGCCACCACCGAGACCGTCATCAGCATGGCCCAGGAAAGTCAGTGCCGCCCTTTGTTCCGCCCAAAAGTTGCGATGGAGGGACCCCCACCCCAAAAAAAACATCCCGGTTCCTTCTCCCCACCCCACCCCATCCCATCCCCGCTCCCGGTTCGGGGTTCTGGAGGGGGGGTTTGGATTGGGATCGCTCGCTGGGGATGGAGGGGTTGGTTTTGGGGGGTTTTGTTTTTGGGGGTTTTGTTTTTTGGGGTTTTGTTTCTTGGGGTTTTGGTTTTTGGAGTTTTGTTTTTTGGGGTTTTGTTCTTTGGGGTTTTGTTTTTGGGGTTTTGGTTTTTTGGGGTTTTGGTTTTTGGAGTTTTGTTTTTGGGGTTTTGTTTTTTGGGGTTTTGTTTTTGGGGGTTTTGTTTTTTGGGGTTTTGTGTTTTTGGAGTTTTGTTTTTGGGGTTTTGGTTTTGGGGTTTTGGTTTTTTGGGGTTCCGTGTTTTTTGGGTTTTGTTCTTTGGGGTTTTGTTTCTTGGGGTTTTGTTTCTTGAGGTTTTGTTTCTTGGGGTTTTGTTTCTTGGAGTTTTGTTTTTGGGGTTTTGGTTTTTTGGGCTTTTGGTTTTTTGGGGTTCTGTGTTTTTTGGGTTTTGTTCTTTGGGGTTTTGTGTTTTTTGGGGTTTTGTTTCTTGAGGTTTTGTTTCTTGGGGTTTTGTTTCGTGGGGGTTTTGGGTTTTGGGGTTTTGTTCTTTGGAGTTTTGGTTTTGGCGTTTTGGTTTTTTGGTTGGGCTTTTGTTTCTTGGGGTTTTGTTCTTTGGGGTTTTGTTTTTTGGGGTTTTGGTTTTTGACGTTTTG